CATTTGGGCAGAGAAACATGCTGCAGGCCGGGCCCCGGCGCCCGAGTTTTACCCCAAATTTAATGTGGCGCCAAAATCTCTCGGGTTAATGCTCCAAAAAGTGTTTTTTTGCCATCCAAAAGTCCTCCTTCAAGTCAAATTCTTAATTATCATTGAAATTTGATCTTCAAAATTTGACATAGGACTCCAATAGTATTCCAAACTTGAATTTTTCATGACGTACACTTCAATTAGAATTCTTCAATTACTTCAAATACTTCAACAAAGGAATTCGGATCACACCCAAATTCCAACAATTTCCATCTTGACACGAATTCCACCAAAGAATGAACTGACTTCTTCAACAATAATTAAAACTTAATTTCTCCAACAAAACACAAAATACAAAATACTCCACCTCTTCCAATGAATCCAAACACTACTCTGTAGAATTACCTTAGATTCCAAAAAATCACAATGATTTTGAATTAACCAAAATGGGTTGTAACACACCCCAAAGTAGAATCTATACCGAATGCTTTTTCAGAAAGCCATTTGCTAGATTGTACACCTTCTACTCCACTTAAAACGTGTTCAACAAAATCAACAACCACATACCTTGTTCCACGAGGTCCGTCTCTAGCAACTGAATATGATGGCACTGCAAATGATGGTGGCAAGGTAGTATTATCCATATCTTCAAAATTCCACTGAGATGTATTCTTCAAATCTGACTCCTTATAAGCTCATAAGGGTATTGTACCAAACTAAATATCCACCACGGTACTGAACTTGTACTGATTGACTTTTCTAGATTCCGCGCGATCCTGTAAGATGTATAACTGAGACATTTCCGTCCCTCCAATACAACCTACACACCCTTACAAACCTTCAAAACTCCACCTCCACCAAAGAACTCATAACCTTTTGAATCAATGATAGATAATGAGATGAAATTCTTCTTCAAATCTGGAACATGTCCAACCTGGTCAAGTGTTCTAATTGTCACATCCAAAAGCTTTAATCTGACTATACCAATTTCAGCAACCCGAGAAGATGTATTGTTTCCCATAACTACGACACCTTTTGAAACAGTTTCATATGTAGCAAACAAGTCCTTATTAGGACACATATGAAGCACACATGCTGAATCAAGAATCCAATCCTCTTACGGTTTAGACTCAATGTCAGAAATAGCTAAGAGTTCTCCATCGTTTACAACGTTCTCCGCGAGGTCTGCTTTGCCTGAAATATCTGAATTTCTACTTGCAGCCATCCTTTCTTTATTCTGCAATTTGTAGCAATCCTTCTTCAAGTGCCCCTACCTCTTGCAGTAGTTACAAATTTGATTACTGAATTTAGAATCTACCCCTTCCAAAAACACTATGAGCAACTAGGTCTGCTCCATCTCTGGTATCAGAAACTAGATGCTTCATCTTCTCTTTTGAAAACAAAGTATCATAAACATCCTCAATGGTGAGAGTATCACGACTATAAAAGATCGTGTCTCTAAATGAAAAAAGTGAAACGGGCAACGAACACAGTAGGATCAAAGCCAAATCTTCTTCATCATACTTAACTTCTAATGTTTCTAAATCAGCGATGATCTCCTTAAATACAGCCAGATGATCTTCCAATGATCCTCCTTCTGCCATGTAATGAGCGTATAGCCCCTGTTTGAGATGCAATTTACTTGTAAGACTCTTGGTCATGCATAATGGCTCCAACTTCAACCACAAAGCAGCTGCTGTCATCTCCTTCAAAACGTCCTAAAGAATGAAATTTAATAGATAAAGATGAATGTGAGAAACTGTATTTTTATCCTTCCGTAATTTCTCTTCCGCAGTCAAAGTTGCTGACATCCTGTCAATACCTAGCAACGTATCATCCAAATCCAGTTGTGCGAGTACTGCACGCATCTTATCCTGCCTAACGAAAATCTAGTGTTTCGATCCAAAAGCAGAATGTCATACTTCATGGAAGTTATCACAAAAAAAATTTCGAACAAATCAAACCCTATGCTCTTGAGGAACTGATGAACCTTGGCTCTGATACCACTTATTAGGATTGGTACCACTTGTTGTGACACCAATCACCGGATTGAGATGTTGAAGTTATATGGCAAAATAATAAAGTATTTGATCAAGAACAAAACAATAAAAGAAGACAAGAATATCGCAGAGGAATTATGATATTTTATTGCATCAAGAGTAATGGAGAAAAATATTACAATAATCCTAAAAGCTAGTAATCATAAATCTTACATCATAAAATTGTATAGAAGAGTCTAGTATTTATAGGAAACATGTAGGGGACATTCAAACCCCCTTGGTAGAGTTGTTGATAAAGTAGGATGCCAAAAAATTGAGTTCAAAACGAAGTAGGAGTANTTTAGAAGTAAACTTTTTAAGCTTAGTCAAACAAGCAGCTCCACGTTCAATAGAATGATTTTTAGTTGAAAAATTGCATGTTTTGTCCTCAATCTTTGTACATTTTGGTACGTTTATTTTCAATATAATTTCTCGACACTCTGTATCTCCATCCCCTCATTCATTGGCAGGCCGCTGTTCTCAGGTTCATATAGAAAAATCATTTAATTAATTAAGTAGAAGTAAAATACTTGCACAAGGTTGTCATAACAAATTACATCTTGTCTAACACAACACTGATTATGCCAAGTGTTAGGATTGGTACCACTTGTTGTGATACCAATCATCGGATTGAAATGTTGAAGTTATATGGCAAAGTAATAAAGTATTTGATCAAGAACAAAAGAATAAAAGAAGATAAGAATATGACAGAGGAATTGGGAGATTTTATTGCATCAAGAGTAATGGAGAAGAGAGAAAAATATTACAATGATCCTAAAAGCTAGTAATCATAAATCTCACGCCATAACATTGTATAGAAGAGCCTATTATTTATAGGAAACACGTATGGAACGTCCAAGACCTCTTGGTAGAGTTGTTGATAAAGTAGGATGCCAAAAACTGAGTCCAAAACAAACTAGGAGAAGAAAAAATGCGAAAAATACACACTCGGACCGGGAAACTCGCTAAGGGCCCGGCCCGAGCCCCGGCGCCGGCTCCTGGGTTTTGCCCCAAATTTAATGTGGCACCATTTTGGCGCCCATCTCTCAGGTTAATGCTCCAAAAAATGTCTTTTGTCATGCAAAAGTTCTCCTTCAAGTCAAATTCCTAATAATAATTGAAATTTGATCTTCATAACTTGACATAAGACTCCAGTAGCATTTCAAACTTGAATTCTTCATGACGTGCACTTCAATTAGAATTCTTCAATTACTTCAAATACTTCAACAAAGGAATTCGGGTCACACCCAATTCCAACAATAGATTTTCTTGCACTAGTTATATCTCTTCATTGTGCCTCTCCTATTTAAATTTGATTCATATCCACGAGTACATAATGCACCACTAGCATGCCACATCCTCACTGACTAGGCTCTGCATGAGCTTCCCAACACTCTTATGATATTTTATTCTTATGATAATTCTCTAACATAAAGATCAAATCTCTAAATAATTCTTTCATGTCTGCTAAAATATTGTGATTTAGCGTCTACAGATGAGTTAATTAAAGATTAATATTTTCCTCAAATTCCAAAGGAAAATAAATTTAGATTTTAGCTCTTTTACAAGAAAATTGCAAACACTCAGGAGTCCCAAACATCTTGGCTAAGCCTTTCAACCTTCTGAGCTCGATTTGGTAGGGATGATTAGATTGTATTGGACGGAGTTGAGAACAAAAATAAGCTAAAAATCTTGTAAATTATTTATCACCTAGAACAATCCTTTTTATCACAAACAATGAAATTGGAGAGACCATTAAGCTAGGAATAATTACAGAAAAATTACACTAACCTAAACATTAACCTTCAAGTTATATACCTAGGAACTGAATTAATCAAATGAGGGAACAAAATCTTCACTCATAAACGAAAATTCAGAACTGATAAAAATCAATGGCAAAACCTAACAAAAATCAACATATCATACCAAAGAAAACATGATTTCAATCATATGGGGCAACAGGTATTAGAAAAGTTTAATGAAATTAAAACAAATAGCTATGGAATTCAAGAGAAAAACAGATTATTTTCCACTTACTGGACATTTTATAAATAAATGTGCAATTATCATGTACATAACTAATATTTGTATGCAACCACCCACAAAAAATCTTACCTACTATTTGTATGCAACAACCCACAAAAATCATATTCGCACTATAAATATGATTGTGAAAAAAAGGCAAAATAAAAGCGTTTCGAATTTACCTCCTTCCAACGACTCCTTGCTCGAACTTCTTGCTCAGACTTTTGAAATCAAATGGCTGCCGCTTATTCACGCATGGGTTGGGCTCTTCGAGTGGTCAACAATATCAAGCAGGAGCTTCGATTATCTCGATTTTGGATTGTTTAGAGGCAATTTAAAGGTGATGGAAGGGGAAGAAGGAAGCCGGGAAATTTCAAAAAATGGAGAAGGGTTTTACAGTGGTGAAATTAGGGAAAAAATGGTGAATTTTGAGTTAATAGGTGAATGGCAAATTTTTCATTTTACCATTTTATTACATTCTTGTTATTATTATTTTTTTTAATATGAGTCAAAGGCCTTTTGTCCAAATTATTAGTTGAACCCGGCTATCTGACCAAATTACCCATTTTTTTGTCATTAATTCAGACCTAATCCCCGAAAAACAGAGATCACAACAATTGCAGCTCAACCAACAGGATAACGCCATAATAAGCACAAGCACCAGAATACATCTTCAAACGATAAGCTGAAATATGTCCACGAGATTAATAATTTCGAGTAAAAACAGCTCCAAGAAATGTGTAAAGGCTTTTACTTTTACCAATTTAGTTCAAGACTTAACACAAAAGAATTCAAGAAAATGAAAACCCATAAACACATTTATTGAAAAGTGAATACCCGTTAATCTCTTTTACCCAAAAAAATTATAACTAATGATAGACATTAAAACAAAATCAAATTAAAAAAATGTTCTTACACTCAACGAAAATAAAGGAATTGCAGAGTGGAATTGCAGAGTCAGGGAAAGCAATAAATCTTGTTGGAATTGCACAAAGAGGTTTCCTCAATGCCGAAGAAGAAAGATGCTTTGTAAGTTGCTTGGTGGTCTCACCTTCCTAAACATTAAGGGGAACTTGATTTTGGAGTTGTGGAGTTGTTTCGTACCCTCCCTCTTGCAAAGCTTTGTCGGTATAGTGGCGGTCTTAATAATTTGAATGCAGTGACGCTGGAGGTACAGTTGGTGTCGGAATTGTGTGGCTGCCGAAGAAGGTTTGTGATTTGTTTGGGATTAAGGGTTTGTGATTTCAATTATTCCACTTGTACAAAGTTATTTCATCTGTAAAAATGACAAAATACTCATACGGGATGGGTCCCATGTGAATAAAATATTATTATAAAAAATGGGATCCACCCCATGTGTGTTATCTGGTATTTTTACAGATGAAAAATTTCTATAACAATAGCACAGCTCTTGTGATTTTGGGGAAATGAGGAGAGAGAAACGGGGAAGGGAAATGGGGAGAGTGAGAAGAATGTTGTTATTTTTTTTTTTTTTTTTAATTGCCGTCACGTCATTTTGTCAAGTGACTTTGTTAACCAGCTTGGTACACGTAGCGTGACTAACAAAAAAATCAAAGATTTCTTGAAACTTCCAATTCACCACTGCTATTTACACGTGGCCTCTTCTCAATCACCAATTGGATCATCCCCTATATTCATTATTCACGAACAATAATTATCAAGTAAACCTTGAACACCAGGCCTCCATAGAAATTCTTGAAACTAGCCTAATTACAAGATCCTTAAACCAAATCTTGTACTTACACAAAAAATGTCAGTTCCCATACTTGAGAGTAGCTTCGTAGTAAGCCCTCTTACATCAAAATTCAAACCGCAGAGAAAAGCCACTACAATCCCTGTAAAATCTGTTCTCATCTCATCCAAACACAGACAGGAAGATTTTCCTAGGTATGTAAAGATTCTAAATCCTGCTTAAATTGTTTTTCTGCTTTATGTTTTTATGGGTGTAGTGAATATTTGGTTTGTGGAAATGAAATATGGCAGTAAAACTGAAAACCAGTTTGCAAAATTGGCACTGGTTGCACTGGCTGCTGGGGTGTTGACACTGGGCTCAGTTGATACTGCATCAGCCGCCAAAACTGGTGGCCGAGTCGGTGGCCAGGCTTTCCGGCCATCAGCGCCGCGCTCCTCTGGTCCAAGAATCAACAATTCAAGGTAGTTTTCTGGATTTTAATCAAAATTAATGCATTTGTATTGTAAGTTTGTGACTATATTTGACTAAAGAATGATAAATAATGTGTAGAGAAATATTTGAAAGGGGACAATTTTGTTGAATTTAAAGTTTGTTTATGCTGCTGATAATTGAATTAGGCTTTAGTAGTTCCATGTGCTTGCAAAAGTATTTTGAGAACCCTATTTACAGAATTATAAGCTGAATCTGTTAAAATGTGGAACTGTATAAGATTTCCAGGTTCAAATATTGTGCTGACTTCATTGGAAATGAAATCTTCTCTATGATATCATTGGAAAATTCTAATGATGCAGGGTAATTGTGGTTCTAAAAGTATATCTTTTGAATCATGAAGACATCAGCCAATTTTAACCATTGAAGACTACTAAGTTCGAGATGGCTTCTTGGATGTATAAATATTCGTCTTGTCCGAGTAAACAAATGCAATAGGCAATGAAGTTCAGTGTCTATCCTAATGCTATTTGAAATGATGTTCCGTCACAGTCAAAAAATTTCATCTTGCATCAAGTTGGGCAGGAGAATTGACCTAGTTCATTTTATACCATTTCAGCACTGGTCCTTTTTCAGGGACAAAATCTCTAGTTACAGACGTAAATTTGAAAGTCTAGATTTAGGAAGTGATCTTTCCTTGGTTTAAAGAGCTGTAAACTCGTGTCTTATTTCTTCTTTATGCGACTTCTCATGGATTATTTGATGTTACAGTCTTTGGTAGAGCTTGATTACCAATGGCTTAAGAAACCCCGACCTTTTTTACCAAGTTTAAATTGCATTTTTCTTGCAGAACCAATGTGTATATCAACCCACCAATTGCCCCTCCTCTAGTTGGTGGATACGGATATGGCTTTGGCGTGCCATTTTATGGTGGATGGGGTTGGTCTCCCTTTTCATTCTTTGCACCTGGTCCCAGTGTTGCTGTTGGCATTGGAGGTGGATTTGAACTCTTTGCTTTATTTCTATTCCTTGGTGCAGTTTCTGCTGTTGTTAGGCGATTCCGTGGATCAAGGGATGAAGACGATGATGATGAATACTAGTCTAGAGAAAACTCGTCTATACTAATGTCAAACGAAATTATGTGTATTTTTGTAAACGAGTTAAATACGAGGATCCTAATATATACTTGAAATTGAGGTATAATTCAGTTCAATTCAACAAAAATATGTGCGCAATCTTTTATTCAGTGTCATCCTATCTGTGCAGAATCCACTTCAGAAGTTGGGACCAATATTGCAGTGTCACTAAATCTTCAATGCATTATATTCATGAGGGAATCAGATCTTGATTCCTATCAGTGAAAATATCAGAACAGATAGTAACCAAAGATCACAACAATGGTATAACAGGAAGATGATTCAAGGATTACGGCAAATGGTAAACCAGGGAAAAACCAGATTGAGTAGAAAAATTAACTGTTTTACATGAGATGTCATTGTGCACTCATATTCAAAGACCAGAGAACCTGTGGGCACTTACAAATACATCAGAAAACCCACACATTCGGTACATCAGAAAACAAGAAAAGATAGATCGGGAATTATGGCTTGTTACTGCCTCCCTTCGTCTAGACAGATTTATCAAAGTTAATCTTGCTGTTCTCTATTTCATACTTATTGCATCTTGCTCTTGTTCGTCTCATATGAAACATATTCTTCACACAGTGTAGTGCTGCTGGATTGTCTCAATGTCAAGGCCTTTCAGCTTCACGACTGACTCGACATGACCCTTGAGCGTATGCAACTCCCGAAGCCTAAAATGATAAAAACAGAAATAGACAATTTTTATAATTCACAATGATCACAGCAAAACTAGTAATTGTAAAAGGGACTAATCGAACATGTCAATTCATACCTTGCAATTTCAGCTCTCCTCTTGGCCTGCTCTGCGATTTCAGAAAGTTCTCTATAGCTATTCTTCTCATTGAAAAAATTAGTCGTCTCTGGTGCTTGAAGGCCATGTAGGGTCCTCTGTGCAAGAGCCCACTGTGCTTCTCTCTCCTCTTTGCCATAGTCCTTCTTGGTGGTGAAAGCCGTCTGTTCCAAGTAAAAACACATGATAAGTTAGTGAAATGAACATGATAAGGGAAGTACAGGATCTAGGCATTTTGTTGGACAGAGTCATACCTTATTCTCATACAAATTTTGCCAGGCCTTTCCACTTAAGATGTAACGAATGGCAAACTTCATTAGGTCTAGCGGTAAATAGAATACAATACTGTAAAGCCAGATTACACCAGCCCATCCCCAACCACATCCTTTGATTCTGGCGAACCCCCAGTTGGCGTATACAGCTACTAAGGTAGCAATCTACATCATTAAACGTTTCAGCATCTTAGAACTTGACATTCTATCTACATTCAAGCTTTATTCTCTTCACAAATAGATGAAGAAATTTAACTATGATAAAGGTGCAAGGGAGAAGAAGTTTCACACAGAAGACTTAGAGAAGGTCTTTAATTTTTGAAAAGGTACGCAATAGGCATGGAAGAATTACCAGCTGTGCGATGAAAAAAGCAGTCAATAACAGAAATCCGGGGCGTTCCATGAACGACCAGCTTCGTGATCTGGTCACAAAAATCAGAGCCTGGCTGATAATACTCACTTGTAGATAAAGAGCAGCCATCATTTCGTGTTCACTGTTTCTAATAGATCTTACACCAAATTTATCCTGCAGGCAGTTAGTTATTTTTACTTCACATCGAAACTATGTATAATTTAAAAGCATACATACAAGAAACATTACTAGTCCTCACCGGGAAGAAGTCAGTTTCCTTCATAATCCAGAAGAATAAAACAGTCATCAGTGCAAGGTAACCTCCAAGTACTATGCCGGTGGCAAATATCTCTTTCAATTTCCAACTATCAGGTAAAGGAGATGGCTTTACTCTATCCTTTGAAATTGTCATAATTGTTCCTAAATAGAACAAAATTATTGATCTATCAGTTTCCCTGTGTCACCCAAAATATAAGAGCTATTCAATTGAGAAAGCGAAATCTTACCGTCATTGAGGATGGCAATGATCAAAACCATGAATGGAGAGAAATCGAACTTCCAAATCAAAGCAATAAGCATGAAACCAAACTGCAAAACAAGAAGCAGAGGGCATAAGAATTGCATCAATCTCAGGAATTATAGTAACTTTCTTAGTTCAAATGCAGCAATGAACTTACAACAATACGGATTGTGATGGAGACTGCATATATCTGGCAAAACGAAAACGCAATTAATTTATACCTGCTTCAGCCAAAAAAATTAACTGTACAAGGAGAAGATAAGAAAAGAAATGGATAACTGTGTAGTTCTTCATTCTTTGGAAAATAGCTCGACTGGTCAATACTGCACTGATGATAACGCTCAACCCAGGTTCAGTGAGTACAATGTCAGAAGCACCCCTTGCAGCATCTGTAGCATCAGCAACTGCAATTCCAATATCTGCCTTCTTTAAAGCCGGTGCATCATTGACACCATCTCCCGTCATTCCAACAATATGCTTGCTCTCCTGCAACTTCTTCACTATTTCGTATTTGTGTTCTGCATGCCAATGAGAAAGAATAGGAATTTCCCTTTCCACTGTTAGAAGGTTTATAAATTTTCATAATGCAATGTAATGTGAAGGGTTCACAGACTAAAAAACCCACCCGGAAAGACCCCAGCAAAACCATCTGCTTTCTCAATCAACTCCTCGACAGGAAGACCAGCAATAGATTCATCTTTATGTTGCCCAAGCAATGAAGCAGAGGGGTACATATTTGTTCCCATACCAAGCCTGCGCCCAGTCTCCTTAGCAATGGCGAGTTGATCGCCTGTGATTGACACATTAATATGAATAAGCAACCGACTAAAAGAACATAATAAGTAGCTATAATACTGCCTTTCAGAATGATAAATATGGAATTACCGGTAATCATTTTCACATTAACACCAAGATGGAGGGCCTGGCGGATGGTCTCGGCACTGTCATGTCTGGGAGGATCGAACAGGGATAACAATCCAACAAACTGCCATGGACCACCAGGGCTGTCTTTTGATTTCTGTGGCACTTCCTGGAAATATAACATTGACCTCAGTAACTGGAACATAATTTTTCAATTGGGAAAATATCTAAATTCCGGCAATTTTTTCATTGCAAACCTGTCTTGCAACTGCCAATGACCGAAGTCCGCGCTCAGCAAATTTATCAATGACACCGTGAACCTTTTTTTTGAGGTCTTCCTTGCAATTGCAGAGAGTCAAAATCTGATCGCAGAAGGGAGCAAAATAGAAAGAAAAAGAGAATCAGTATGTTTGCCTAGTAACATCTTATATATTCACCAAGCAGGAAGCTAAGAAATTGAAAATAAGAAAGAGTACCTGTTCTGGGGCTCCCTTGCTAGCTCGATGCCAGTTATCACTGGAATCGATGTAAGTCAAAGCAGTCCTCTTGTCCACAGGGTTGAAGGGGAGAAAATGGACCTCCCTGATACCAGCTCGAGCCTAAGAATCGAGGACATGTACCATGAGTCATTGAACTCTATTTAGTTTTGAATATCTAATAGTTATAAAATGAAAAGAAAGAAAAATCACACATACCTCCTTTGGATCAGCAAGGGTACCGACAATGGCAGCATCAATTGCATCTTGATTCTCAGTTCTAGAAGCCCTTGCGGCTAAAAGAAGAACCTGATCAGGGTCTACACCCTTTGCAAAGACTTCAATCAAGCTTTTATCAACGGTCAACTTATTGAGGGTTAAAGTTCCAGTCTTGTCACTGCACAGGACATCCATGCCAGCCAATTCCTCGATGGCAGTCATTCTCTTGGTGATGGCGCCTTGCTGTGATAGCCTGTGAGATCCAATAGCCATTGTGACGGACAAGACAGTGGGCATGGCAATAGGAATGCCTCCGATTAACAGAACGAGGAGATTGTCAATCCCCTTTCTGTACTTCCTATGTTGAATTGGGTACATGACAATAATCTCGGCTAGCATTCCAACCGCAATGGAGCAAATGCAGAAGTTACCAATTGCAGTGAGCACTTTCTGGAAGTGCCCAACCTGGTTTGTGCTATCCACAAGATGCGCTGCCTTCCCGAAAAAAGTATGAACACCAGTAGCAATAACCACAGCTTCAATCTCACCTTGTTTGCATGTTGAACCAGAGAAAACTTCATCATAAGGATTCTTGGTGACAGGAAGCGACTCTCCTGTGAGTGCGGATTGATCAATCTTTAATGGATCACCTTCAAGAAGACGAGCATCAGCAGGAATTATATCTCCCAATTTAATGCTTATAATGTCTCCAGGAACCAAAATGGACGCTTCCTGCTCACTCCATCGACCATCTCTGAGGACCTATCGTTGAGCAGTCATCAAACACGAGAAGTTAATGCATACATCAAGAGTTTCATACTGCATTTGGGAAGGCACATCTAAAAATTTGATACCTTCGTTTTAGGAGCAAGACCAGCCATAAGAGCTGCAGCAGCATTTCCAGCATTGTTCTCTTCAATGAAACTGATAGTCGAGTTGATAACGAGCAAACAAATAATACCAACGAAATCTTGCCAATCCGGGGGCTTTCCACCTCCATTAGCCAGCGCAATTGCCATTATTGCTGCAGCTTCCATGACCCATGAAAGTGGATTCCACATAAAACCAAGGAACTTAAGTACTTTGCTTTCCTGTGTTTCAAGGACAAAAAACATTGTCAAGCATTGCAATTTAAATGTATTTAACTGGTAAAATTCACTGGTTATAAAGAGAAGAGGAACACCTTCTTTTCTTCCAATTTGTTGGGGCCGAAAATTTGAATCCTGTTAGCACCTTCATCGGAACTTAACCCTTCCCGGGTGCATTTCAGCTGCTCAAACACTTCCTCTATCGGAACTTTTTCCTGTTATTTGTTTATACCATTAACAAAAATATAATCTTTGTTTACTATCTATTTTTCATTTTTTATAATACAAACTATTAGAGATACAAACATCATAACAGTAAAGAATCACATTAAGAACTTGTTTGGCTGACATTTTCAAAATTCATTTTTTTCCCCCTAAAT